CCCTGCCGATATTGACGGTGCTGTCAAATGGCAAAAGTTAGCAGTTGATCTCACACCAGACAGCCATCCAATGAAGGGGGGCTACTTGTTTGAACTTGGAGACCTTCTTTATATCCGCTTCGCCGACTTCGGAAATCTTGACGACATTGAGGACGCCATTAGACAACAACAAAAAGTGGTCGATATCACGCCAGACAGTGATCCAAATAAGACCCAGTATCTGGCTAGCCTTGCAGCCTCCCTTCAAGGTCGTTTCATGCGCCTTGGGAAGCTCGCAGACGTTGAAGGCGCTATCGTACGATTGCAAGCAGTAATCGATTGTACCCCAGACAGTAATCCTAAAAAGCCCGTGTTCTTGAGCAATCTCGGAACCTCGCTTGAGGCCCGCTTTCAACTTCTTGGGAATCCTGCTGATATCGATCACGCGGTTACCCTAAAGCGGAATGCGGTCGATCTAACACCAGAGGGATACCCAGACAGGGCTAAGAGGCAGGTTACCCTGGGGATGTCCCTTGCCACTCGATTCAGACGCTTTGGAAATCTTGCTGACCTGGACGACGCCATCAGACAAGGGACAACAGTGGATCTCATTCCAGACAGCTATCCCCCAAAAGCCATACATTTGAGTAGTCTCGGCATATCCTTTCTCCTTCGCTTTAAACACCTCGGAAATCTTTCCGACCTTCACAATGCCATCCAGCGACAACAAGAGGCCATCCAACTAACGCCGGACAGTAACCCTAACAAAGCCATGTATTTGACCAACCTAGGGAATGCTCTGAAAACACGGTTCGAACGCCTGAAAAAAGATGATGACCTCGATGAGGCTATCACACGATTACGGGCAGCGGTCGACCTTTTACCTGTCGGTCATCCTTCCATGCCGGTATACTTGAGCAACCTCGGCAACCCCCTTCAGACTCGCTTCCAAACCCGCGGAGACATTGCCGACATCAATGAAGCCGTCACTAGACATCAAGAAGCAGTCAATATCTGGCCAAAGGGCGGCCCTGACAAGTCTATGGCCTTGACCAACCTTGGGATATCGCTTTCTACCAGATCTCGGGTCTCAAAAGCTCCACTCAATGACATCGACGATGCCATATCACGACAAAGGGAGTCGGTCCAACTGACACTGGATGACCATCCCGAGAGGTCTGGTCGCTTGCGCTACCTTGGACTATATTTAAGAGATCGGTTCGACATCTCTTCGGATATTCAGGATTCTGAGGAATCTATATCCTGTTTATCTTCTGCTGCAATGTTTCAACTTGGCACCCCGAACGTACGTTTTCTTGCTGCGCGAGAATGGATCTCTACTGCCTCTCGCATCGCTCATAGGTCTCTGTTAGACGCTTACAAATGTGCACTTGACCTGGTACCGCGCATCGCGTGGCTAGGTCTCTCAATCCAGGATCGTCATCAACGTCTTGTAGAAATTGGTGGGATTGCACGAGACGCAGCGGCCGCAGCTATTTCTGCTGAACAATACGACAAAGCTCTTGAGTGGTTAGAACAGGGTAGATCAATCGTTTGGACCCAAATTCTTCACCTTCGGACCCCTGTAGACCAGCTACAAGCCGAACATCCAAATTTCGCCGAAAGACTTGTACAGATTTCTCAGCTACTTGATCGTGGTACTATAAACTCGGACTCTTTTGGGGACGCGACTACTGTTGAAGAGGAAGGACGTCGGTACCGAACCTTGACGATGGAATGGGAATCAATAGTCGAGCAGATTCGATCATTACCTAATTTCGAAGATTTTCTAAGGTCTCCAGGCTCACGAAAACTTATGAAAGCTGCCAAGAATGGCCCAGTTGTCGTTCTCAATATAGCAAATGAACGATGTGATGCACTTGCTATTCTCGCCGAGTTTGACGAGATTATCCATATAGCTCTACCGGACATCACTTATAAGAGAGTCACAGGACTTCGAGATGAGCTCAAAGATCTCTTACATTTGAGTGGTGTTCGAATGAGAGGAGACCGCGCTGCAAGAAAACTTCAAGAATCAAGCGACGACGAAGACTGCAAGTATATTCTCTCCGAACTGTGGAACGATTTGGTTAAGCCCGTAATGGACTCTCTAGCATTTTCCGTATGCCACTTATTTACCTGCAAGTCTTTGAACTGACATACTGATCCCAGTCCAACCCGGATATCTTGCCACGGGTCTGGTGGTGTACGACCGGTCCTCTTTCATTTCTTCCTATACATGCTGCTGGTGTATACGATCAAGATTCCAGTGATTCGCAACTCAGTGACTATGTCATATCCTCCTACACCCCTACTTTATCTACCTTGCTCGAACCATCGACCACCAGTACGGGCTCATCTTTCAAGTTCCTATCAGTGATACAGGTCTCTGCTCCTGGAGCGTCTGCTATCCCTAGTACCAAAGAAGAGCTGGATTACATTCGTCAACGACTCTCTGGTCGCGATCATACCATTCTTGATGGCCCAAAGGGAACCAGAGGACGGGTCACAGAGGAAATGGAGAGCTGCAACTGGCTTCATCTAGCATGTCATGGGGTTCAATGGCCAAACGAACCAACCAAGAGTGCACTGCTCCTTGAAGACGGCCATCTGACACTCGAAGAGATCATCAAACTTAATCTGCCGCAAGCCGAACTCGCATTTCTGTCGGCTTGTCAGACCACGACTGGAGATGAAAGTCTCTCTGAGGAAGCCGTTCATATCGCAGGCGGGATGCTGTTGGCCGGATATCGGGGGGTTGTGGCGACAATGTGGTCCATTAAGGATGACCTGGCACCCGGTCTAGCGAATGAGTTCTATGGACATATCATAGAGGATGGGAAACGGCCAGATGGCCGAAAGGCTGCCGAAGCTCTACATGTAGCAGTTCAGAAGCTTCGGAAGAATTCAGGGGTTTCGCTCTTGGACTGGATTCCGTTTGTGCATCTTGGAGCTTAGGGTTTAGGCTTTGTCATGTACTTCTTCACTTTTTTCCTGCTCTTCTCTTTGTGACTTGTAGATCCTAGACGCTCCTGGCCCCAAAACCAAGACTAGTCTTTCTTAGCTTCACTTCAGCAAGGTTTACTGAGACCGATGCAAGTGAGAGGAAGTGAGTGTATCGATATAGCATCACCAAACAATATATATTTTTACAGGTAAGGACAGTCAACGGATCGAAAACAAGACGGCGCATCCACGCAGCTCTTTTGTTACTTGAGCCAGGATATAGGACGGAAATCTCAGACTCGGAGGCATTGATAGTACCATGGGGGAGAAACGGCCACACAGGTAAGGCCAGTAGCACAAGTTGTAGGTCCGGTCCAAGTAGTACCACCACTTCCACACCTATACCTTCAACTGGGACAATATCAAGGGATGGAAGGGCACAACAACCAGCAGCACCATAACCTCCGCCTCGTCCACCTCGACTAGCAGGACGAGCTCAACTACTAGGACATCTTCCACCTCGACCAGGACCAGCTCTTCTACCAGGACCTCCTCTTCTACCAGGACTAGCTCCTCTACCAGGGCCAGCTCTACCAGTTCCACCAGGACCAGCTCCACGTCCTCCACCAGGACTAGCACCTCAAGCGCATCCACCGCAACTCAGTCTGAATGGGG